ATGCATCAAAAATTTATGGTTCTTTCACACAATTTAAATTAAAAATCTCTGCACGTATGATGCATTCAAAATGTATGAAAGAAACCATTTTAATGACTAAAGAAAAGAAAAAAATACGGCGCATGCTTGGAAGAACGCTCTCAAAGATATCAAATAAATTGTTATGAAGTTGTAAGTCACGAAGAAGTTCATTCAGATACATTATCTTCAATAACTAGGTTTTTATCGAGCAAGTTTAAGTGTATAGGCTTAAGAACATGTAGAGTGTGATCTTGTTTCCAGATAAGCACAAGAAGAAAAATGAAATAGTTGATTTTTTGAGTGTGGATGCGAGAGTTTCTCTTCTGTACATTTATACTCACACCCACACCCTCACGTACCTGTACTAGCGATAAAAAGATCAGCCTGTTTGCTCGAACTGTCATTGAAATATTCAATATTTCTCTTTCGGTAACATGACTTTTGGACCGCTCTGTATTTATTTTGTCCAAATATTGGATTTTATCGATTCTTTCGGTCGACGAGTAAAGATGATAAAGAATCAAATCACTTTTATAATCATCTGTTAAAATGTACTAAAGACTTAAGTGCATATCTTCAGCCATGTTACTTAATTCTAACATTGTGGAACAGATTTGTGCCAATTATGTGGCATTAACTTCTATATAAACTGGATTTCTAATGAACGTCTTACATATTCTTATCTTTGAGTTCACTTTATATTGCCTTTTTTTGTATAAACTCTATGTTACAAGTTATCGAGACCCATGAGGAAAGAGTAAATGTGAGTATGAAGGAAGAAAAGAAATGCAATTACACTCAGCCACACCCACATCCTCTAATACCTTATTTATGAAAAAGAATCTACTATCTAAATATTGAGTTGGCAAGAACTTTTTGTCGTTTTTTTTCGTAACTTCCTAGAACAGTCAAGAAAGTTCTAGAAGTTTTTATAGTAAGGGTATATAAAGAGAGTGTGAATATCTTTCGAAGAACAATAAAACTATGGATCTACATGCTGATCTAGAATTAGAAATAAAGATGTCTCGTAGAGAGCTTCGAGTGCTTCTGCTTCATGAATTCCGTCTAGGTCACAAAACAACAGAAGCAACAAGCAACATATGCCATACGATGGGTGGGTGTGGGTGTGGATGTGGGTGTTGGAGTGGGTGTGGGTGTGGGTATATCGAGAAAGACGAACACCCACACCCCAGAGCCACACCTCACATCCACACCCACACCGACACCCACGCACACACCCACACCCACATCCACACCCCACACCCACACCCATCCACATTCCACACCCACATCCACATCCCACACGCACACCCTTATCTCGTTTTCATCTGTGTGTTTTTAAAGTTGATATTTTCTTGTTATTCATTAATGAAAATATTTTAATAATTTTTGTTTTTCAAATAAAATTAATCATATAATAATATAAGAAGAAATTGATCAATATTATCAATAAAATTTTATTAGACATCTTAACTTGATAGAATTTCATCAATTATCGTTTCTGTTTTTTTAAATAGATTAAGAAATTGATTTTTCGAAAAAGCTGATAAATTAGGAAATCAAATCCTTTTTATTTTCTTCTAAAATATTTTTAAGAATTAGTTTATAGTTAAATAAGACCTATAGAATATAATCATTACTCTTTGAATACTAATTAAGAAATTATTTCGAAAAACTCTGTGTGAGCAGATTGATAATATAAACATTTTTTTCTAATTTTTACACATTGAAAAAAGTAAATTATAAGATTTTCATCAGAAATTTTTATCTGTAAACAAATTTCAGATCTAATTAAATATCTTTTAAAAAAATTCGAGATTACGAGATAACTGAAACAAAAAAATGACGATTTAAATAATTGATAAATTATATTTCTAGAAAATATTTCCTATTGAAAAAGCCAAATCCGTCTTCTCTACAGTGAACATTAGAGATATAGAAAATGATTATTTTCAAAATGAATTTAATTAAGTTTCATGTAAATAATATTATTCAAGATAAGAATTTCATTAATGATCATTTAGTTTTTCGAAAAATATCTAATTTCATTCAATTAAATATTTAATCTCTCTCTCTCTTTCTTGATTTGATAATCTATACTCTGATGTCTTTCAATTATCTAATATCATATTTATTCAAATATTTTTCCATTCTTCTTGAAAATATATTCATGTCTTAGTCATTTTATTCTAGAGAAGAAAAATTTGAATTTATTTAGCTAAAATTTCATTGAAAAAGATTTGAGACGATTAATTCATTTATAGTACGAATATAGCTTGAATGCTTTCTTTTCAGACGCCTGTTACCTAAAATTTTGCATTTTTTTTGTTTGATATCTATGCCAGTAAAACTCTTTCTTTTTTATTGTTCAATAGAATAGATCGATCGAAATTTATATAAAAAAAATTTCGAAATTTTGAATTATTCATAAATCTAATTTCAGTTTAATATCCTTATTAATTAACTGTAGTAGAAAATGTTGATTCTCTCAAACTAAATACAATGCCAATCATATTTAATAACATCTCTATAAAAATATTATTCTTAACAATATTTAGAAAGTTAATAGATTTGTTTTATTCATTAAGTATTTACTTATATTCAGTAGAAACATAAACAATAAATTCAGTTAAATATCATACAGAAATCTATATAATAGAATTTAAGAGATTTTTGAATAAATAAAAGAAAATTTTCATCAAAATCTATTCATTAGGAAGTTTACGCTGAATTTTTCATGATAAGAAAAATAATTTGTTTTATTTTTATAAATTATTTGAATAAATATTTTGATTTAGATTTAACAAAATAAATAATTTTCAATTGATCGACAATCTTTAAAAGAATATTTTAATACAGAATTCTTGTCGAGGATCAAGTATATTTAATAATATCTATCATTTATAGTTAAAATCATAAATAAAATGATCATTACAAAAATAATTGACGATAACTATTAACAGTTAGTTTCAAAACTATTTACCTCGAAAATAAAATCATCAATTTTATACCAAACTACAGCTGTTAAAGTCTTTTCGATATCAATAATTAGTTGAGACTTTAGTCATATATCGTATGTGAACAAATATCTGAAAATCTCATCTACATTATGATCATATTATCGAATTACTGACACATCTAGAGATGAGTTCGAATCATTATATATTTTAAAATGACTTCGCTGTTGAATGTATATTGAAAACTAATATGTTTATTATAAAGTTCTTTTCGAATTCTATGTAAAAATTGGAAGTAATAAAGGAAAGCAAGAAAGATAGAACAACATCCTACAGTAGTCTAGTGGTATGACTTCCGACTGTAAAATTAAATTATTCACAGAAATCGGATAGCTTCGGTTCGATTCCGAACTGTAGGATAATACGTTATATTTTATTTTTATTTCATAAATATGTTTTTCATTCTGCATACCTTACAGTATTTGATGATGCAAGTTTTTGTAATTTTATTTTCATCAATGTATGCAGGTGTGTTTTTTTTCTGTTGGTTATTTTTGTTCGTAAATGAGAAAAAACATTTTTTACTGCATTCATGATAAATGTATTTATTCTATTTACCAACAACTGTCACTGAATTTACGTATGAAATGTAAAAATTTTAATAGATGAATTCGAATTGAGCTTCGATGATAACGTTCGAAATCAATAACATAACTTATGTAATATAAAAAGATTAGCTTTTTGTTTGGGGAACGTGTTTGATAGAAAATTATAGAATAATAATCAGTTATTTTCTTATCTTTTGAATGGAATAGTTTCCATTTTCTGTTTCTTTCTAAATTGATATCATCTTATAATTATTTTATGATTTATCTATTGAGCAGTACAATTCTCCAATTTGCTTCTAGTATCGAAATTAGGAGTGTTGCTTCTTAAACAGAGTTCTTTTTTTTTAATATTGATTATCAATTACTTTGAGACATAAGATTGATAGTTGGTACAAAAATAACAACGATTAATACTGGTATATCTAAAGTATCGTTGAGAACATTTCTAAATCCCATTGTATTAAATCAATTCTTCATCGTGTGGGTGTGGTTGTCGATGTGAATGTCAGTGTTGCTAAAAAGTAGAGCTTTACTCACATCCTAACACGCACACTCACCCACCACACACCCACACCGACGCGCACACTCAAGCCCACACCCACACCCTCCTTTTTTTTTAGAGTGTGATCTTCTCAATTAGGGTTACGGTCAAACTAAAGGCTAAATCTCAGGAAAGAAAGTGAGTTGAAGGAAAATAATGCTTAACTTTTATCAGTGCGATGTGAAGAATCCAATCACTACGAAAAAACACAATCTGTCTAATTAAAAATGACTTGATGCTTTTTTGGTGACGGTAAGTTGTCTTGTCTATTGCCAACATTTGCGGTAGTCTGAATTCGTACACACCATAGTTTAAATCATCAACAATTGAAGTTTTTGAATCAGTTTTTGATGTAGATTAAGAAAAGATAGTTTTCAAATCTATAAAATGTTTTATAGTACAACTGCAAGGGTATTTGTCTGAAAATAATGCATTATTCTGCTTATAGAAATTCTATGATTTTTTCTTATTTTTGGTATGAAGACGTTACTTTTTCAGAGTTTGCTATACATATTCGGATTCAGCTCATTGAGATGCATGGAATGATGTGTAAAAAACGAAAAAATAAAATCTGCTCGAATTTTGCGTTTCCTCAACCTCAGGAAAATAGGAGATCAATACCGGCACGTACACCATTGTAAAAAAACAGCATTAGATCTGATTTTTCTCTTCATTCTATTGGTTGCTACCAAATTCTTAGAGTTTGAGGGTTTTCACCGTTTCTTTTACTATACAATATTTTTACTTTAAGTTCTTTTCAGTAGAAGCGTTTTATTACAATATTCATTTATTCACAAAAGTATGATAATAAGAAGAATACAATTAAATACACAGAAAGCAACATCAAGTTATGTGTCATTTCTACAACGAATGTCAGCGATTTGCTAAATCAAAAATTTCGGATGCTGTTAACTCCCGATTATACAAGTGAAATTCATCCAGTGCACCATTAAATTGTCCTCCATAATACGGAGAACAGTGAAATGTACTCGGATCAGTACCACCGATTTTCATATACAGAGGAGTTGTCGAAGTAACAAAACTAACAATTCCCGTAGTTGAATAGAGACTGCCATTAATGTACAGTCTAATACCATTAGGATAACTGTACGTATAACCAACATGCGTCCACGTGTCAAGCGTGAGTATTGGCCCGTAACTAGTTATATTAGTTCCATTCCAAATATTTGCATTCAACTGCCCACACATTGTTGTTGTTAAAAAATGAACGCACCAACCATTATATATAAACACAAGCGAGGATGCTGCCAAGCTTCCCGTTGCTTTCGCCCACAAAGCTATTGTAAAATCATAGTTTCCAAGGCGCAAAAAATACAGTGGAGCATTTGCATATGTGTAATATAAATATGATACAGGTTCAAATTGGAGGGCTTCATTCACCACACCAGTTACAGTAGAAACATTTCCATAGCTCGATGCATTGATTCCGTTTGGGCCATTATCCATGGTCGAGCCACCATCAAAGGAGTAGTAAAGAGTTAGTGTGGCATCATTCAAAATTTCGGCTGCACTTTTCGCTCTTTGTGTGTATCGAACTTCATCAATATAGCCATTGAATGAGTATACCGTACTATTGTAGCTGATAGCTCCAATTAGTGCAGCTTCTGATACACCCAAATAAGGAGATACTAAGCGTATCCTATCAAGAACCCCATTAACCCAAACTTGAAGTGCTCCTGTCGCGACACTGTAAACACATGCGACATGAATCCAGAAAGACATTGCTAACGGTGTTGAGCCCATAGTATCATTATTATAAAAGCCACAGTAAACTTTCCTGTTTTTGACAGTAAAGTATAAACATAAATTTTTAACTGACGCTTCGCATTGACCGAATATTCCATAATAAGCATTTGTTAATAAAAAAGGACGTATCCAAGCTTCGATTGTGAAGCTAGTGGAATTGAATGGAACTACTGATGCTATTGATACATATTGATTAGATGATCGTAACAAACTAATAGCAGCACTAAAACCAAACAAACTGACAGTATATGCAGGATTTCCGACAGGAGAACCGTCAAAGCCAGTACCATAGACCTCAATAGTATTATTGTCAAATGGCCAAAGGGCTTCAGTTACAATTGTTGTCATCGACGTTGTTGTTGTTACGGCTAAAAAATGTATAAAATGAGCAATGTAAGTTATAGTGAACAAATAGAAAAGCTGTATAGCGAGAAACAGATTCATAGTATCAACTTAATAAATACGAATATTGTATCTACAAGTATCGAAACGTTTAGAGAGATAAGTTAATTACTTAATTTTACAATTACTTTCTTAACTGTGACAAAATCATCTAGTAATCAAAATACAAGCCTATCTATTCTTAAAGACATTATTAAAAGACTTCTTTCAATATATCCGTTGTGTCGGTGTTGGTGACTATCGTACATGTTAAAATTGAAACAGCTGCTGTTGTTGTGCCATAACTATTCATGGTAGTGGTTGTTGTTGTTATGCTTGTGGAAGTGATGGTTGTTAAAATGCTTGTCGTAGTGGTTGTTGCTGTAGTGCTTGTCGTTGTGGTTGTTATTGTAGTGCTAGTGGTGCTGGTAGTACTGCTGCTAGGAGTAATGCTGATTGATGTGCTACTGGTATTTATCATGGCAGTTGTAACTGCGATTGGTATTATGATCGTTGTTGCAGTATATGTCATTGAACTTCGGCTGGTAGTAGACATTGTTGATGTTGTTTGGTTTGAGCGCATCCTTTTAAAGAATGGAGCCACTCCGCACACTGCCCAAAGTATCATCATTGTAAATCCGACTACAAAAATTATACCAATAACATTCAGTGCAATAATTTTCAATTTCTCTTTTATCGGAGCCCTTACAACATCTATTAAAATTATATGAAAGTCAAATGACATACTTACTGCACGTTTGATGAGACATCATCAGAGAAAGCATGTACTTTTGTTTTTCGACCCTACAATTTTTAAATAATCTTTTATATACTGATTTATATGGAAAGAATCATCTTTACTTACTCGGCTGATGTGGCGACTTGTTGGATGCATCGTGTGTTGTGGTCTGATCTATAATAGGCAAAATATTACTGTTTTTTGGTGCCGGATACTGGCCTAACTAACATGAGAAACAGCTTGATTCCATCGTATCATTTTGTTTCAAAGAGAAAGTGCGTAGAAAAAGTGTTTAGTGCATAACAAGAAACAAATGAATTCTGTAGTAACTACGTATGTAAATGAAAATGGATTATTTTAATTTAATTTAAATAGGCTTGCTAGTGGCTCTGAAATATATTTAAGTAAATGAAAAGATTGGCCCACTTCTATCTGCAGTATTCTAATTAAAATAATGTATGACAATTAGAGAAAAAGCTACTTCAGAAGAATTTTGATTAAATGAGTTCTATACAAAGCTACATGCGAAGAACAAATACTTTACACACATTAGCAACATTCAAACTCAAAGGTAGATTCAATTAAACCGAACAGATTTCCAATGAAATCCCACCTTTTACATGATCTTAATCTACCCTGTAAACATCAAGTCATAAACAAATAATTTCACGAGTACGCGTATCAAAGCGGATCAAAAAGGTATAATGACTGCATTTCGTGGAATGTCGCTACAGGCAGCAGACTTTTGAGCAATTTTGCCATAATCCAAGTAGAATATTGTAAAACAAATCACTATTTAGTGGGGTATTATTAAATAAATTCAGATATAGTTATCAATATACATCATTTCGATCTGAACCTATTAAACACTAACAAATGACGGAACAATTTTTTTTACTTTCGCTGTTTGGCTTCTTGTCGAGAAAGTCCGGTGTGTTTAATGCTGTTTATGCACATTTCAACTGTCGTTATTCTCATCCCTAGGGAAAATCTTTGATGTTTCCGTTCCAGATCTTTGACAGATCCGTCCAGGATCCTCCGAGGATTCTCTATTTTTTCCTGAGGAAGCGATGAAATCCTGAAGAAAGCGTGTAGCCACGGAATTTCAAGATCCTGACAGGATTGAAACAGGATTCAATCAGGATACTTACAGGTTTATCACTACTTTTGAACTAAGAACCGTTCAGGAAATCAATAAATCCTGAAAGAAGCGTGTAGCCATGGAATTTCAAGATCCTGGCAGGGTTCATGACAGGATTTAATCAAGATCCTCGACGGTTTATCGTTAGAGTTAAAATCAGGAATTTGGCCAGGAAACCTTAAATCCTGGAAGAAGCGTGTAGCCACGAAATGTTCAAGATTTGCACTGGATTCAAACAAGATCTTAGAAAAAACCGTCCAGGATTTCAATGATTCCTTATGAAAAATTCTGGCTATATCTTCCAGAATCTTAGTAGATTTCCTCTCGAATATTATTATATTTCTTGATAAGATCCTGGCAGGATTTATCAAGGTTTCCTTCAGGATATGATCAGATTTATTGACAGGATCTTTGCAGGATTATCTAAATAGAACAGAAAAGAAATGAACACATAGAGTATTGATCTCTAAACCTTCAGTTTACATACTGATCAGCTTACCCGACTGGAGGTGTCATGTTATTAGATATAGTTTCAGCCTTCAATATCTTCACTTCTATCTTAAATCTTAACTTGTATTTGAGTTTTTTTATCGACATAATTAATTTGAAAAAAAATTATAAAACAAAATATTTCATTTTAACTATTCATTTCAGTTGAAAAATTCAACTATGTCGTGTTTGATTTTAATTTGATTTAATAAATATTTTTTTCAACTTTCTTGACAAATGGAATGCACAACAGTTTTTACCGAAAGATTTTACTTAAAAAAAATACATAATTTATTTAAAAAATTAGTACAATCAATCAACAGATGTGAATTCCCTAATTTAGTAATTTTCCAAAAATATTATTCAATATAAAATAGGTCAGATGATTAATTTCATATCGTGAATATCACATCAATTTCAATGTAGAATATATATTCTGAAAAGAATTCGAAGAAACTTTAAAAAATTTGACATAAACTCTTTATTTGTTTTGCACAAATTTAAATCATAACCAGAACAAAAATCATAGTAGATTCCTATCAATTCTCAGAATTTCATCACGGCCAGAATAAAAATGTAGTAAATCTTGAAAAATCATCCACGTTGTAGAGACCTTATTCCATTTTGATACTGAATCCCTGTCGCGATTTTTAGATGTACAGATCTTGGACGGATCCTGGGTAAGAGGCAGATAAAATCTTAATGAAATCTTGTCATGCATTCTTTTCAGAATTCTGAACAGGGTCAGTTACAAATCTTGGTAGGATCCTGAATATCAAATTCTGAATATACTTCAAACGCAAGCCTGCAAAGATCTTAACTAGATCCTTGTACTTTCACTTACGGATTTTGATCATACTTGCACTACTTTGTCACGATCCAAAACACATGCTCTTGAATAGATCTGGTAGAATCTTGGAAAGACTTAGGAAAGATCACCATAACAAAAATAAAACGAAATCGGGGCAGGATCTTGAACAGATCTTGAGCAAAACCTGACTAAATCTTGAGCGAAATCTTTCTATAATTCTTGTCCGGATCCTGAAAAGAAGAGAGGGTAAATCCTGATAGGATCCTGAATTCTCAGCTCACAAAAAGATCTGACCAGGAACTTGAAGAAATCCTGAATCCATCTTGGGAGGAATCATTAAATTTATGACACTGGAAGTATTCTTCAAAATGAAGAGCGTTAAGTAGCGTGAACAGTGAATTGCAAAGGTTCTAACGGAGTCCTTATGATTTCTTGTCAAAATCGTGATTAGGATTGGCATCGTCTTGCAAGCTGTGGAAATGTACATTCTTCAGCGGTTCCGAGCAGGATCCTGATCGAAAGTTGGCAGAATTAGTCAGTTTATGACTATGACTGATCTTGCCATTTTCTCGGCAAGATCCTCGTCGGATGTACTTCTAAATCCTGGCAGGATCCTGATATGAAGATCTGGCTCATATCCTGATGGAAACCTATTACAACCTTACCAGAATCCTCTGTGATAATCTTGTCAAGATCCTAAGTAGGATCGAGAATGAATCCTGGTAGGATCCTGAATTCTCTATTCAGAAAAAGATCTGATCAGGATCCTGAACAAATCCTAAAAAGGATCCTGCTTAATCTTAAAGAATCCTGGCAACAGGAATTGTTAGGATTTGAGACAGGATCCTGAATGAAACTTGCCACGATCGTTGAGATTCAGGATCCTGAAAGATCCTTCCAGGCTTTCCCAAGGAATGAACAGGATTGAAACTAGGGATTGGTTGCCGTCATAACTAGATTTCTTTCTCTATTTATACATAATTGATGAGTAATTGTAGAGCAAAAAATTAGAGAACAATAAATCTTCAACCAGCCTTTACACCAGCGTTGCAACTCTGAAACTCCAAAAAGCAGAAATTCTGTGAAGAAAAGTAGAAACAACCAGAAGTCATTTGTTCAGGAAGCAGAAAGAAAAACAGAGAATTTTTTTTAATAATAAGTCATTTTTTGAATTAGATAGAATGAGATAATTAGAACCTTGATATATATTGTAGAAAACCATGAAACAAATGAAGGCAGCAAGAATACTAAATTTCAGTAAATCGTTATTTGCTTATTTATATGTCGTTTGATAGAACTCGAAAAACTGATCAAGAATATATACTTTTTGAATATCGATTCTATTACTCTTCGAGAAGAACAACGTTGAAAAAGTTGAATCACAAAAAAATTAACATTTTATCAGTAATTTTCATTTTCGTAGAACAGTTGAAAAAAAAAGTTATTGTTAACCTTTTCTTAAGAGTTTCAAAAACATTATATATTTAATTGCCGTGAAAAACTGAGTCGAACTAAGTAGTTCGGTAAGATATTGAGCTATTCAAGCAAAAAAGCTTTCTTGCGATGTAAATCGGTCTATCATCTGAAAATGATGGATCAGGGACTATTATTATAAATCTATCTAATTAGATTTCTATTACAAGAGATAAAACTAACTTTTTTTATCTCACTAGACTCGTTAAACTTGTGCCTAAAACCTTTACCTTTTAGTGTTTTTGAAAAAATGTTTCTATTATACGAAAAAATCCGTTTTTTTTCAACCATGTGAAATCTACACAAATACATTTTTTTAAGAAATATTTTGTTTTTAAAATAATTAAATCCACATTTTCATCTTATATTGGTGAAATATCAAGCTGAATTCGGTACATTTAATCCAAAACGTATGAGAATCTAGTAGAAAATATTATACAATACCAATTTCTATCGAAAAGAAAATAACTATAAAGTAGTTATACGTTTGATTCCTTTGCATACTTTTTTTGCTTGTACATGTATTCGGTTAATTATTTTTAGTGCCTTCATCAGAGAGAAACGTTGGGAAAGAACTCCATTGAATACTTATATGCTGCTATATTAACCCATTTGAAGTCTGTGCACGCCCTTCCTCTCACACTTCTCGCATCATATTGTTTTTTTCATTCCTGTTTCAGCTTAGATGTGCTTCGTATTGTCGTATATGTGGCTAAACATATATATCTTCATTTCTTCGTTCTGTCCATACTGCCTGTACTATTTAAACAAGAATTTCTATCGTCAAAGATTTGTTCCAAGGTAGCTGTAGCTTCAAACTCCATAAAGACGTTGCTTGATTTTTACCTCTAATTGATTAAGTTCTCATGAAGCAATTATGTTAGTTGGCTCTAGTAAAACAAACTTACGAAGACCTTTCACAATATTATCTGATTTTTTATCATGCCACAATGGAAGAAACAACGGTATAAAGGACATATTCATGCTAGTAAACGTTCGTAAGATCAAAAAAAATTCAATGAAAATTGATGAGAGTTTATCAGAAGAAGATATTGATAAAGACAATTATGATAATGTTGAATCCATTGTTTTTGTAGTTAACTTTAATATCGTCGATATTACTGATCTGTTTGAGATAATTAAAGATAAAACTTGTTTAAGATTTGTTACTGTGTTATTGTATGTAATTGTTGTTGATNTATTAGCCCGATTAATCAGCATTGATCCCTGATTATTTTCACAAGTTTATTTTGCATTTTATCGCAAGTCATTTTTTGCCCCCTGGAGTCCCCCTCAGGGTTAAAAAAACGTTTTTTTAGTCACTTCATTAGCAGTCCCTCTAGTTGGATAGCGCTACGTGTGCTGATTACAAATATCATATAATCTTTCAAAAGTCCTCGGATAGTAAGGAAGATCTGAAGTACACTTTGGAAGCCGTAAAAATCAGTTTCAGATTTGAACGTCTATTAAAGATCGAACAAAACTAGTCAAAAATAAGCTCATTCGATAGAGAATTTGATTGTCTATCGGAATCTATAAGACCATCTTAGACATTGGGATTAATTTGTATCAATAAATGCCAAACTCCGCCCTAATGCGGTCATTGGGCACAAATAATGTTTTTTCGGGTCCATGGAAGTTACAGTTTTTCCGGGTGTACCCGCCTGATTTTTTCAGTGAATAGGTAGTTTAATGTGTTCTTTCTGATGACACCATTTTCTACTTAGAACTCGATGTCTTAAGGAACACTTTTACTTACACTACTGTGTTGGACTGTCAATTCGCCAATTTTTTGATGGTTTTGAGGCAGAAAGTACTTCGTTTGACTTTTAAAAAATGGCATATTCGAAATCAGCACAAAAAAGTGAGTCAGACCATATACATTTCAGCATGTTTCTACGACTTTTATTTTGCTATCATTTTGTCGACCATCCCCAACGGAAACCAGTGACCTAAAATTGGGCGGGCGATGAAAGTCATAGAAGCAGTTTGTAATGTATATGACCTGACTCAGTTTTTTGTGCTGATTAGAAATATGGCATTTTTTCAAAGTCAAACGAAGTACTTTTTGCCTGAATACCATCAAAGAGCAGGCAAATTCACTGTCCAGCACAGTAGTGTAAGCAAAATTGATTCTTAAGATATCGAATTCTAAGTTGAAAATGGTGTCATCAGAAAGATGAAATTAAACTACCTATTCAGTGAGTAAATCAGACTGGTGCACCAGGAAAAACTATAGCTTCGAAAGACTCGAAAAATCATCATTTGTACCAAATGACTCAATTGGGGCGGTCGTTGGCATTCATCGGCAGAAAAAAATTCCAATGTCTAAGATGGCCTTATAGATGCTGATAGGGAATCAAATTCTCTATCTAATGAGCTTATTTGTGACTAGTTTTGTTCGAGCTTTGATAGATTTTCAAATCTAAGACGGATTTTTACGGCTTCCAAAGGCTACTTCCGATCGTCCTTATTATCCGAGCACTTTTGAAAGACAATATGATATTTGTAATCAGCACACATAGCGCTATCGAATTCGATGGACCTCCAATGAAGTGGCGAGAGAGACGATTTTTTGAATCCTGAGGGGGACCTCAGGGGTCAAAAAATTGAGTTGTGATAAGATGCAAAATAAACTTGTGAAAAATAATCAAGGATCAATGCCGATTATCCGGCTAATAAAATCAGGCCGACCGTGTTTGGGATGATCAGACCACAATTTCGCACCTCTCCTTTTTTTTCTGGAAAAGTCTGCTTCTGCATTAAAAAACTTTTTCGCAAGAACAATTCTTTTGAAAAATAGGATTTCATGACCACCACCCACACCCCCCATACACATACACATTGAGTTCACAAGTCACAATGAGTTCACGACTCCAGGGAATTTGGCCACGTCTCAATGACCTTATACATAAATCGGGGTCCTAATGCGGCGATTTTTCCATGAATTCCTCAACCAAATGAACTAAAATTTCTTACTCCCATATATCTCAGTGAATTCTATTTGCCACAAAATTTTCGTTTTCAAATGTGGTACTATTGGGATTTTATGAAGCACTCAATATATGAAAAAAGACCGAGTTTCGGTAAATTTGGCGCTTCACAACTTTTGATAGGAATGACATATAGGTCTGAAATTTCCACTGTTGATAGAACAATGAGAGATGTATTTCTCCTAAAACTTTCAGCTATCCATACCGTTCCGTTTGCTCATTGCAGCCCCGTGAAAAACGGAATTTTGATAAATGTGGGGACTTTCAGGATAGGCTTTCTCCCAAGAAATGGATTGTCTGGGGTGTTGGTTATTAGAACTTTAAAGTGCTCTCTTTGGGCTACAATTCTTTAAAAAATTAGCATGGGATCTCCAAGAATGGCCCCGGGACACTCATTGGAAGATACACAAAAATGAGCTTTTTTTACAGGAAATCTACCCGAATGCACTTCGAAATTACACGCAGTGTCCTTTTCTATGAGAACAATTTTATCGGATAAAAATCGGCATTCAATTCTCTATTATGCTGTATCGAAAAATCCTCAGAAAGTCAAAAAACAATTTTTTTTGAAAATTTCCCCTAGGGAGGTACAGGGTCTATGAGTACAAGATGTTACAGGAAGAGGCCTGGAGGGGGGTAGGGGAATTTTTGGAAAAACATTTTTTTTTCTGAAAATTGTTTTTAGATGCAGAAACCGACTTTTTGAGAAAAAATAAATTTTTTCGGAAACACCCCAAAATTGTATGGGAGAAAAAAGTTTTTTCGAAAAAAATTTTTTTTTCTCAAAAAGTCCGTTTCTGCCTTTAAAAAACTTTTTCGATAAAAAGTTTTTTTCATAAATGTTAGTTGAGGACCCCCACTGGCAACCTTTCAGTTTCCTACTCTTGGGAATTTGGCCAGGCGTCATCATTGGTAATGCTACTAGAATCCCAGATAATGCTACTAGCATCCCAGGTAATGCTACTAGCTTCCCAGGTATTGCTACTAGCATCCCAGTTATTACTACTAGCTCCCAGGTGATGCTACTAGCTTCCCAGGTATTGCTACTAGCGTCCCAGGTAATGCTATTATAATAGTGTCATAGGTGATATATCTTTTGAACATCAGATCTAACTCTCAACCTAGTATCTCACTCAAATGGGGTCTGACTGCTATTAACCAGAAAGCATGGACTGTATTATTGGTAAAGTATGGAGGCGTAAGTGAGCTCCAAATTTGGTGTTTACGTGTGGAGCTCACTTTTTATGACCCCAATAAAACACAAAGTCACAGACATTTTGTTGAAAGATAATAATAATCGATACGAGTGTCCAGGATGCAACAACAATTTCAAGCCACAAGGAATCACAAGTCATATAAAATAGTGTGCTGGTGCAATAGCATGGTGCAGGAAGAACAAAATCAATTAAGAAATTTCTGAACTTGGTTGTGAAACACCTACTAGAGCTGACCTCACTTTTCACTTACGTACCGTGAGAATAAGACGCACTGTCCGTCCTCTCGTATATGTGCGATTACATTTGTATCGTGCATCGTGTTCATGATTTTGATTTATTAGTCTTTATCACTCTTTATTAAAATATTAAAATACAAATACAAGAATGTCAAATACATTAGACAATCGATATGCAAATATGACAAGAGAAGAAAAAGATCACTTATGTGATCATAATTATGAAATTATACAGGAATTAATATTACGACGTGAAGAACGTGAAAAAATTTCAAACGACAGTCTAAAACAAGATGAGAAGAATTTAAATAAGGAAAAAAGCAATCAACATTTCAAAAGACAACTTACTTCGACGAGTCAATATGGTGAAGAGGATGATCATAATGAAGAAAATAATAATCCATTTATTTTTGTGACAAGAAATAGCAAAAGAAAACAACAAAAAGTGAATAGTAAAGAAGCTATCGAGGTGAACGAAAACAATGATATTTATATGATCCATAATAACACACCACCAACTACAGTCAAGAAAGGCGGACGATTATTTGTGAACAGCAGAAATAGAACGAATAACAATAACAATGAATCTATATACTCCAACAACCGATCATATGATATTAGTCATCAATCATATGGTAAAGAACTAGTGGCGTATCTAGAACAGTGGCGACTCGCTGGTGGTGGGTGGGCAGTGGAAGGTGGCGCCACTCTTTTTTTGCTTCTAAGTTTTCAATTGTGTGTTATTAATACCTGAAATTTTTATTATAGTCTGGCCCTAACATGAACTACATCCACTAAAAATTTCAGGTTTTAATAACGCATAATTAAACATTTAAAAGCAAAAAAAGAGTGGCGCCACCTTCCACTGCCCACCCATCCCCAGCGAGTCGCCACTGTTCCAGATACGCCACTATAAAGAACGACAAAATACATATAAGATCATGTCAAATAGTAATGACTCATGCACTAATAATGGTTCAAAAATTCAGTTAAACCTAAATGAAAAACAAATGGATAAAAGAATTGAAAGTAATAATAACCTAAAGAATTATGAAATTAATATTTCACTACATTCATTAAACTACGCCGTTAGTCAACACCTTCCATCTATTCATATCAATTGTTCACCTAAACTAACAGACCATCAGAAAGGAAAGGATATAGTAAAGGCTCTGTTCACATATATTGAAAAAGATTTTCGTAAACTAAATAAACATTATATTATGCCGTTGGGCTTTGAATATTGGTTTATCAACAAGAATGGAAATTTAACATGTTATACAAGACATACTGAACTTTTTGTTTATTTATGTGAATCTCTTAATTATCCATCAATATTATTATCAACTGATATATCACCTACTCGACCCAAACATTTACCATGTTATCACACATTATTATTAAAATATGTTCCTAATGAGATTACTCTTGACGGAATTAACAATGAACTTGGTTCATATATTAGTTCTATATACAATTTAGAAGAAATGATTGGTTCAATAACAGATAAAGCTCGACACGTACGAATAGAAGTAAAATCAATTGTAGAATATGATCAATTAATTCAGAAAGGTGCAATTACACTTGATGGTCGTTTGATTGAATTACAAGAATTTTTAGCTCCACCTCGAATTCTTATATGTTCGAAATGTAACAACCCAGGCCATATCCGAAAGAATTGTAGTCTCGACTACGATTCTTGCCGTAGGTGTGGTCAGGACAGATCGGTAGGTGATCACAAGGAATGTTCAATAAACTGTCATAGACGTAAAAAGGATCACATGGCTACAGACTTCAAGTGTCCTTTTCTGGTAGAATATAGACGTTCGTTGATCTATCAATTGAAGCAAAAACCGCATTTATTACCTCCAAATTTACAACTTTTTATTCCAACAGAATGTCGTGAACGTAGTGGTAGGAATAATCAATTCATAATAAATCCAATATCGAAGACAAATAATAATACATATAATAATATATTAAAAAACCAAAATCAACAACAATTACCATTCAATATTAACTCACACAATTGGCCAACATTGAAGAAACAACAAATCAATGATAATATTAGTTCTTCATCGGAAAAATCAATATGGAACGAACTAAAAAATAAACAAATGGAAATTGAGAATTTAAAAAATGAATTAGATAAAAAAATTCAAAATTGCCAACTAAATTACAATGAAAATATAAAAAAATTAAAATCAGTATTGTTGATAATTTCAGCTCAAACAAAATATCAAAATGAAAATATTGAAAGATGTCAAACTGCATTAAATGAATTTATTTCTTTATCATCTTCATCTCTCAATGCTTTACAACAACTTACATTTAAACATATCACAACTAATATGAATGATCAAAACAGCGAAGAACATCAAAAAATTCTACAACAGATTTCTAAATCAATTGAATTAATGCAAGAGCGTAACAATTTACTTATATCAAATAAAAAATCTCTCAACATTCTCATCGAACAACAAGGTCAGCTTTTATTTCAAGCAGTAAACAGTCTAACATTAAATGATGAATAATAGTACAGTATTCCATTACTCATCGCCAATAATTTCTCCTCTTTTCATTAACTCATACAATGGATCTCCGGCAGAAAAAGAACTTGTTTCTGAAATGATAAATGAATGGAACTCTCGTACATCAATTTCTCAGTTAAGTAGTCAATGGAAAAAAGTTCGATCCCTCTATACCAAACAGAATTTACTTCTTTTATTGTACAATGTTGAAGGACTGAATACTCATGTTGCGGATGTTGATTCGTTATTGTCCACTTATCATCCTCATGTTTGCATACTGACTGGAGTTGGAACGGCTGTTAATAAAAATATTATTTTTCCTAATTATAATACAATAGCACAAGCTGGAACGAATGCGTATGGTGGTGTAATGATACTGTATCAACATTATATAAAATGTAAAATAATAGAGAAAACTCTTAAATTCATTATAATCGAATTACTCTTGTCTCCAAATCCAATATATATTGGTGCTATTTATGTCCCTCCTAGTTCTCTTCCCCCCTTTCAATTAATATCCAAATACCAAAGTAAACCTTTTTATCTCTTTGGTGACTATAATGCTAAGCATACTAATTGGAAATGTAAAAGAAATAACACAAGCGGAGTTCAATTACAGAACTGGTTGGAAACAGCTGGAAATGAAATGATAACTCCAACTAAATCAACATCGAGACGATCCGAATCGATAATTGATTTTGGAATAACGCACGATGCATCTGGTTGGGCTTCTGAAGTATTAAATGACGGTACATCCGACCACTTTCCCATTTTGTTTCAATCCCCATTAGCAATTGGTGAAGGTTCATTGTTTAGAAAAACTAATAGGAAGATATTCAAATATTTTCTTATTGTTATCAGCGAATACTGGAGGTCAATGGTTTATAATCTCGACGAACAAACCTTCTTCTCTCTTTTTCCATTATTTCTATCATCTCTATGGGATCGCTGTAGTACATACGAAGACACGACAAAATATCGTCCTCCTTGGCCATCTGAATTAGTTCTTCTAGCAAAATCAGTAAACAAAGCTAGACGTGCTTATAGAAGAAATAAAACGAAAAATAAACTTGATTATTATTTATCTTTAAGGGAAATATTTATGGATAAGAGAACTCATTTCTTACAATCAAAAAAAGAACAAAAAATGAATTGGGTAACTCATGGAAATAATATATGGAAATTTGTTAAACCCTCTTTTCATTCATTTACTCCCCCTTTTAGAGGAATTACATCAGGAAATAATAAAATAACAGACAAAGAAGAAATTGTTGGTATTCTAGCAAACTACTTCGAAAATCATTTCGCAGAACCCAAATTCGACGATAACAATAATGAACACTTACAAGCAATAGAGAAATTTAAACAAATTGAATATGCACCTAGTATTCCTTTAGAACAAATTACGATGAACGAAGTCCTAAAAGAATGGAAAAAATTTAAATCAAAAAAATCAAGTGATAGTAGTGGAACCTCTGCGTACATGTTAAAACAACTCCCCGAAGAATACATAGGAATAATTACCATATTATTCAATAAATGTGCAATGAAAGGAGACTGTTTTGAAGACAGTAAACACGCAAAAGTAGTTTGCCTTTCTAAAGACGGTTTATATCCGACTGAAAACAGATTAAGACCCATTTCGTTACTACCTAACCTTGGCAAATGGTATGAGAGAATTATTCATAAAAGAATTCTAAGTTGGTGTGAAGTTTTAAATATTTACGTTGACGAGCAATCAGGTTTCACATCACAAAGAAGACTTCAAACTAGAATCATCTCACTGATGGAAGATATAAGGTTAACTATCACAGCTTGTAACAGACCAGCACTGGTGATTTTTGTGGATTTTCTCACAGCATTTGATAACATGTGGTTTCCCTCCTTAATCTCCTCATTGAACAAACTCGGCATGCCCCTCTCGTATATCAAATGGATTACATCGTGGTTAAAAACAGAACAATGTTCATCCACTATGGAGATTCAGTCTCACGAGCCATAAAAATACATGTTGGAGCACCTCAAGGATCAATATTGGCAGCTACTCTTTTTAGACTTCACATTCATTTCTTACCATCTATATTCTTTCGATTAACATCACATCTTTTTGCGGATGATTTAGCTATACTAATAACAGGAGCATTAGAAAATAAGTTTCCAGTAAATATTGCATTTTTAGAAGAAAGGGCGAAAGAAACCATGAAATTATTAGAAAAATATGCACAAGATAAACTTTTACCTGTAAATGTAAATAAAACAAAAGCAATATTAATCCATAACGTTATTGTTCCAAGCATACCAAGAGTTGAATTTAATAACCAGAGCATTGAATTTGTTTCCTCCTTCAAATACCTTGGAGTAACAATTACCACGAAACTGGGATGGGGTAAATACATCGATGAAAAACTGAAAAAGGTTAGAAAAATTTATAATGCAATGAAGTTATTGTTCTATAAAATACCTAAAAAAGAAATATCTATTCGTCGTAAGATATTTTTTGCATTTGCTCTCCCTCACTTTATATGGTTAATCTCGACTTGGTTCTTCTTTACTGAAAAGCAGCAAAATCAAATTAACTCAACTTTTCTCTCTGGAATAAAAATAGTGTATAGTCTTTACGGATGGAATAATATAACCACACAAATTCTTAGCCAAGAAAAAACTCTTTATGATTTTATTTACTCGTATTGGAACCGTTTCTCAATACATTTAGAAAGATCATTAGAGGCAATACAATATCAACACACTTGGATAGCCTTTCAGATCATTACTAGTTATGAAAAATCTTCCTACAAAACTCTAGGATTCAGGAAAAATAATAAATTTATTAATAGATTAGCGGATAGAACAAAAAATAGTCGATGTGATTGGTTAAAATTTGAAGCGAATCATAAACCGCAACATGAGATATTCAGAAGGTCAACAAAGTACATTCACAATTTTATATACAAATATTTTTTACTTCCGCCTTAATCTATTATCTGGTAACGTTTCAAGTGCAGTAGCTCGAATTCATGAGATAGATGTCACTAACTTTTAAATGTGTAACATGTGTAACAAGTGTAACAATTGTAAATTCTTCTTCTCTCACATAACATTTACGACATATAACACTTTATCTATTCTTATCCTGGAGTGTAACTGAATGAAATAATTCGAGTTCTCTTTCATTTCATCTTCATAAACATTACTGTATACTCTCTTTTTCCTTCTTTCTCTCTCTCTCTCTCTCGTTCTTATCTTATTTTTCTCTAAAATGTGAACCAGAATACGGCACAATAAATTTCAATGTTAAAAAAAAAAAACTACTAGAGCTGACCTTTGGATAGCATGATGGATATTATCTAAACCTGATGTTATCAGAGGATAGTAGACTGATGGAAACCTTAGCTCAGTACTAGTAGTGATCAACGTGACTCTCGTCCGAAAGGACAAAAGACTTTTTTTTCCTTTTTTTCTATGTTTTTCTTGTTAACTTATTTTTGTGTGTTTGTTCTTGGTATTTTGTTTCTCACCCTACACCGGAGACGATAAGGGTCTATAGATAATAATAATAATAATCCTTCAGGATATGATCAGATTTGTTGACAGGATCTTTGCAGGATTATCTAAATAGAACAGAAAAGAAATGAACACATAGAGTATTGATCTCTAGACCTTCAGTTTACATACCGATCAGCTTACCCGGCTGGATGTGCCATGTTATTAGATATAGTTTCAACCTTCAATATCTTCATTTCTATCTTAAATCTTAACTTGTATTTGAATTTTTTTCTCAACATAATTACCTTCAGAAAAAACTGCAAAACAAAATATTTCATTTTAAATATTCATTTCAGTGGAAAAAAATCAACTATATCGTGTTTGACTTTAATTTGATTTAATAAATATTTTTTCAACCTTTTTTAACAAATAAATGGAATGCACAACAGTTTTTACCGAAAGATTTTACTTAAAAAAAAAATTTATTTAATAAATTAGTACAATCAATCAACAGATGTGAATTCCCTAATTTAGTAATTTTTCTAGTATTATTCAATATAAAATAGGTCAGATGATTAACTTCATATCGTGAATATCACATCACTTTCAATGTAGAATATATATTCTGAAACGATTTCGAAGAAACTTTAAAAAATTTGACATTATCTCTTTATTTGCTTTTGCACAGATTTAAATCATGATCAGAATAGAAATCATAGTAGATTCCTATCAATTCTCAGAATTTCATCACGGCCAGAATAAAAACGTAGTAAATCTTGAAAAATCATCCACTTTGTAGAGACCTTATTCAATTTTGATAGTGAAATCCTGTTGTGATTTTTAGATGTACAGATGTTGGACCGATCCTGGGTAAGAGGCAGATAAAATCTTAATGAAATCTTGCCATGCATTCTTTTCAGGATCCTAAACAGGGTCAGTTATAAATCTTGGTAGGGTCCTGAATATCAAATTCTGAATACACTTCAAACGCAAGCCTGCAAAGATCTTAACTAGATCTTTGTACTTTCACCTACGGATTTTGATCATGCTTGCACCACTTTGTCACAATCCAAAACACTTGTTCTTGAACAGATCCTTGTAGAATCCTGGAAAGACTTAGGCAAGATCAACATAGCAAAAATAAATCGAAATCGGGAGAGGATCTTGAATAGATCTTGAGTAAAACCTGACTAAATCTTGCACGAAATCTTTCTATAATTCTTGCCAGGATCCTGAAAAGAAGCGAGGGTAAATTCTGATAGGATCCTGAATTCTCAGCTCACAAAAATATCTGAGCAGAAACTTCAAGAAATCCTGCATCCATCTTGGAAGGAATCATTACATTTATGACACTGGAAGTATTCTTCAAAATGAGCAGCGTTAAGTAGCGTGAACAGTGAATTGCAAAGGTCCTAACGGAATCCGTATGATTTCTTGTCAAAATCGTGATTAGGATTGGTTTCGTCTTGCAATCCATGGAAATGTTCATTCTTGAACAGTTCCGAGCAGGATCCTGATCGAAAGTTGGCAGAGTTAGTCAGTTTATGACTATGACTGATCTTGCCATTTTCTTGCCAAGATCCTCGCAGGATGTACTTCTAAATCCTGACAGGATCCTGAGATGAAGATCTGGTTTATATCCTGGTGGAAACCTATTAAAACCTTGCCAGAATCCTCTTTGATAATCCTTTCAGGATCCGTAGTAGGATCGAGAATGAATCCTTGTAGGATCCTGGATTTTCTATTCAGAAAAAGATCTGACCAGGATCCTGAACAAATCCTAAACAGTATCCTGCTTAACCTTAAAGAATCCTGGCAACAGGAATTGTTAGGATTTGAGACAGGATCCTGAATGAAACTTGCCTAGATCCTTGAGATTCAGGATCCTGAAAGATCTTTTCAGGCTTTCCCAAGGAATGAACAGGATTGCGACTAGGGCTTGTTCGCATTCATTGATATATAAAATATTTATTATCAAGAAAACATTGAGCAGTCATCCGGTATTTCTCTCAAAAAATACATCGCATGTCTTGCGTAGTGGGCTCCACCAGTATGCTTCATCGAATCTTCGCCATCAATTACGATAATTTCAGACTGCTTGTAGTATTTAGTTACGAAGGAGAATAATGTGTTTTGTCGCCTAATAGAACCAAAGATAATCAAGGAGTAATTACGATGCTGTATATTTTGTTTAACTTTTGCTTCGTCGCTTAGCTCAGCTTTATCTCTTATATATAGGTGTTTGTAGTCTCGCAAAGATAAAGCAAATGCAAACCCATAGCCATAGAGAGATTCCTCGTAGTACTTTTTAGTTTCATCTAGTGTCCATGTGTTCTCATATGAATATTGGTACAAGAACTTAGGTGCTTGAAAGACGTGAAGACTATCTTCAAAACATAAGGTAAAACCATGTAACATGAAATCCTTCATATAATCAGATGACTTATGAGATATGTAAAGGACCGAAGACTTTTCAAATGCATTTTGTTTTTGCGAGTAGTTAACAGTCCTTAATATGTATTCCGTTAGCTTTCTTGTTGTCAAGCGATGACGTGAATAATAAATTAATCGATGTAGTAAAATAAAATATTGTGTAAAGTTGAAAACTGTATGATTTAATTTCAAACCATCTCTATCAATACCCTTCATAGCTTTGGCTTCATTTAAGAGTTGCTTCGGTAAGTGACTCAATATGAAGCTTCCTGACTGCTCGAGATGTTCGAAATATGGCATCGCTCCACATGCTACAATTTCGTAATGTCGATTACAATCCCAACCACCCTTTTTTCTGGTAACAGCAAAGAAAGAATTCATGTACTGCCGCTTATATTCAGACTCGTCGCCAAATGTGAATTCATATGTTCTCCTATCACCCGGTATTAATTTGCTAAAATCCTTATATTTCTTTGGTATGCAAGTCTGATTCACTATCTGATATTTACCATGAAAATAAACGGAACGAGGAACTGTATCCAAAAGATACCTTTCAATAAAACCAAACACTAAAGGAAAATAATTAACTGTGAAGACGCCGTTATGTGGATTAAGGGTGAAATTAAAGTCACGGTATGAACAAACTTTGGAAGATGGATATTGAGATATTAAATTGTTGGTTTCGTTATCTAATCCCATATCGATAGCAACGTGGATATGTTCTGCAGGAGAAAGATATTCGCTATGGGCCATTCCATATAAGTCTATACAGTCAATGATACACCATGGCTCGGTACATGGATACTTCACTCGAAGCATTTCCTTGCCCAGTCCTTTGGTTGATGGAGTTTTTTCTAGTAACATCCTGTAATGCTTCGGTATTACTTTAGTAATATCGTCTATTTCTTTTTGAAATAAATACCATGCAGAGAATAAAACCAAAACAATGCCAATGGCAGTACACCGAACATGATCTAGTAGGCAATTCCAAAATCATGGGTATGTAACCAATATGTTATAGCAGACTTACTTCGTTTCTCCATATGAAAAGCCATTATTGTAGACGGTATTAAAAATGTGCCGAATTTTTTCATTGTACAGAGAAATTCTTCTGAAAAAGACAACAAAGATAGATAGTGAGTTTGAGGGTGTGCGTGTGGGTGTGGGTGTGGGTGTGGGTGTGGGTGTGGGGGTGGGTGTGAGTGGGTGTGGGTATGTTTTCTTCTTGAAGACGCTCACCCCCAGCAACACCCGCAAATCCCACACCCTCGGTCACATCCACACCCCCACCCTCTGAGTTCAATGATTTATGCATGATCGGACCATATTGATAGCTTGCTGTTGCAGTTTCAAAAATTGAAATGATGGAACTCGAACATTTTGAAATGGGGCCATAGTATATCGTTCGCCAATAGACATATTTGCCACGGCTTTTCTATGGAAAAGATGTTGCTGTGCAAAGCTAACATCCGTCAGATTTTGTATCTCGCTGTAAATAACTCGTCCTTGTGCTGTTCCTGATGTAGCCAGGGGGTGGAAGTTATTTCCTTTTCCAGGCAAAAATGTGCGCATCATGTAAGTGTCAATATGAATCACGACTCCACAAGGGTTCAACATAAATAAGGAATTCATTAAGCCTCTACCATCAATGCCAAAGAGAATAGTTGTGTTTCTCATATAATTTAGTTGTTGACGGAAAGATATTTTAGCCAGATCGACAATCTGAACCAAAACTAAGTTTCCGTAGTTTTTTTGTGCAATTGATTTCAATTTTTCAAGATTAGTAATCTTTCTCGACGATCGCTGGATCAATGTGATCACGATTCGCCTCTCAATGGAGGATGCATTCAAATTTCTTGGCTGCGTCGGGATATGAAAGACATGCAGTACCCATTGAGCAAAAAGCTTCCAGTGTTGAAGACTAACTGCAAGATTATAGTGGTCCAACCGTCTAGATACGCCTAAGACAATGGAATTTGTAAAGCAGATCATCTTGGAGGAAAACCGCTTTAAGAGGCCATAATAATTGTACAATGGCTCATCACTTAAGGCTTCAAACAACGGTCTACAGTGTCCTAAATCCTGAATTGTTTCATTTGTATTTTTATATGCATCGCTGTAGTCCATAGCAGCATATAGACGAATGCGACCGAATTCTACTTTTAACTCCATTAGAGTTTGATATATGTTAGAGATTACATTAAATAGGGTATGACCATACTGAGGCCAAAAAACAAACTGAAATACTAGAGTTGCTGACGAAATAATATGATCACAAAATGGTGTTGCTAGTGAAAATCTGGAGACGAAAGCGACTTCAGCAAATTGGGTGAAACGTCCCGGATGACTGCCAATAGTCCGCTTTCTGAGATTTCGATCGATCGTAGTATTATGTAGCTCAAGAAAGNCAAACTCATCTTTCTCTCACTTCTAAAAACAAGCTCATTTCTTATTTAAACCTAAACAAGCTCATTTCTTTTTCTTTAAAACTAAACAAAAACACACAAAAACATTTCTTATTTTTTGCTCTTAAACAAAAGCTCATTTTTCTCACTAAAAAACTTATTATTTTCTTTGCTCAAACCTAAATTATTTATTTATTTATTTATTTATTTATTTCTCAAATTTATCAGCTCTTTTCACTAAAAAAGCACTAAATCTCTGCCCGATTTTTCTTAAAAATTTGCCTAAATTATTTATTTATTATTTCTTAATTTTCTCTGCTTTTCTTAATAAAAAAGTACCAAACCTCTGCCCAATTTTTCTTAAAAATTTACTTAAATTCATTTCACTTTTTTCACCTAAATTAATTTTTTCATTTTCACTTATTATTCACCTAAATTCACTTGTTATTTTTTCTTTTTTTCTTTACTCATCTAAAAAGTTCAAAAAGTAGATATTTTCTTTACTCAAATCTTAAAAAACAAATAAAATCTAAATAAAACAAAAACAAAAAAACTAATAAAAATAAAACTAATAAAAAACAATTTTTTCTTAAAATTTCTTACTCATTTACTAAAATATATTTATTTTTTCATTTATATACTTACCTGTCATCTAGATTACGTACATTTATTGTTAATTCGCTTATTTATTTAAAACACACCCACACCCTCGATTTATTTTCAATGATCCGAAAACGGCTGCACGACGGCGTAGAACTGAGTTGGCTACACGTAGAAGAAAAATTGAAACTCGTTTTTATGAGAAAAAAGTTAGCCCCGGTCGTCCTGTTCAACAATTTATTGATGAATTAGATGCTCTTCTTCAAAATCTTCATAATTCAATTCCCTCTATTACATACAATCGTAAAATTAATCAAACAATAAATCAAAATATTCCAGATCATCTTATTGGTTCAAGTCAATCTCAAACAATAAGTCGATCAATTCATAAAAAGAAGAAAAATTATCATCGGCTAATTAAAAGATTGAAACATAAATTTCGATTAACCAATACAGTCATAAGAAAGACCGATAAATCTAAAGTATTTCATATAGGTAAAGTTGATGATTATCAAAAAAAGTCAAATGAATATATGATTAGAACCAATGCTTACAAATGTCTTGGTACTAATGATCCTTTACCTGATCTTATTCAACGTACTAATAAATATTTACTTGATTTACGTCTGGCGAAATGGATTACACAAAAACAATATGAGCAATTATGTATTAAAACAGATGAAGTTGAATTAGCTCATCTTTATTATTTACCAAAAGCTCATAAATTACGAACTCCACTTCGACCAATTATTTCAGGTCTTAAACATCCAACAATTAAAATCTCCAAGTTTCTTGATGATTTACTACGACCTTTATTCGATAAAATGGCAGTAAATACCACTGTTATGTCTGGATTTGAATTAATTAAAAAACTGCTGCAGTGGTCAAAGTTTAATATGAAACAAGAAACCTTATTATGTACAATAGATGTTACTGACCTGTACACCATGATTCCACAAATTGAAGGAGTGTTAACATTAAAAAAGATGCTAGACTTTCTTCAAATCAACAAAATCAAAGATTTAAAAGTTGAAGCTATTATACGTCTAGCCAGATTTGTAATGCAAAACAATTATTTTAAATATGATGGCCAATATTATCATCAAGTACGAGAAGGAGCGATGGGATCTCCACTAACATTAACAATTGCCAACTGTTATATGTTTTTCTATCAATTTGATATCGTTAGACAGATTAGCAATAGTAGCGGCCTATATTTCCGTTTTATTGATGATATATTTATTGTTATTAATTGGCCTGAACGTCATTTCTTAAAACAGATCGATCGATGGAATAAATTTGATGAAAATATCCAGTTATCAGCTCATGTTAATTCATATGCTGATTTTCTAGATGTACATATAGAGAATAAAGATGGTCAATTATTTACTACTGTTTATCATAAACCATCTTATGAACCATACTATTTGCCATTCAATAGCATTCACCCTATTCATATGAAAAAGAACATACCATTTGCTATGCTACTTCGTGCAATTCGATATTGTTCTACATTTGAAGCTTATTTAAAAGAAAAAAGTACATTGAGAATGGCTTTAATATTAAATAAATATCCAGGTAAATTCATCGATCAACAATTTAAAAAAGTTTTTTTGAAATTTCAAATTAATGAACCATTGACAAAAAATAATTATAATACATTACGTCAAAAAGTCATTGATACACAATATTCTGACAAGATACCAGTCGATCATACTCGTACAATGTTTATTCATTTTACGTATTGTACAAGTATGAAAGCATTTCCTAAGAAGTTTCATGCTTTATGGAATAAATACTTCGCTGAATCTCCTATCAATGAAATTGCTTCAGTTCTTGGTACACGTAATGTCGATAATCTGCAACGACGGTTAGTCTATACTCGTCAATATTGATTTTTTCATTATAACTTATTTATTCTAAATTACCTACTATTCAATATGTTATTTATATCAACACCCAGTTAATCAGCCCTAATAAACATTGCCCCTCTCTATTTTTTATTTTTTGTTTTTCATATTATTAATCTAGCTTTTTTCACATTATTAATCTAGCTTTTTCCACATTATTAATCTAGCTTTTTTCTCTTTTTATTTTTGTTTACCTTTTCTTTTTGCATTTATTTCTTGTTATTTTTGTGTGCTTATATGCAGAGCCCTGAAGAGTGTTTCTTATTTTTAAATAAAATACACGAAACGCGTCGGTGAAGCAATATTCTGCATTTATTCTTAATTAAAAGCACATCATTTATATTTAAAATATTATTTCGACACAAATATCGGTTGCTGAATAGCAAAAGTTGAGATCAGCAGATTGATTTGTATTTTAGATATACAAGTTAGTCTGTTATACAATATGTATACCTACAATTAAAAACATTTACTGAAAAAGAAAACTAAGGTTCATTTATCAAGACGTTTTTTCGAATTTGAAGATTTTTTTCAATGGTTCCTCTTGAGTTAAAAGAAAATCGTGAACATGTGCACAAGGAATATTGGAATTCTTTCTGATTTATAGTCCAAATTCGATTAAGTCGATATCCATTTAGTTTCGATAATCAGATCGTAAATGACTCATGTAACTGAATATTGATTCAACAAAAGAATCGCTACATGGAACAGAAAATACATAGGCAACAATTAGTTTCAAACTCGGTGCTATATTTAGTTCAATATTTGAAAAATATGAACGTAACTGATCATGTGGAACACATTCATTTGCTCTTGTACCATTATTCAACAATTTTTCCAAAACATAAAAAATATCTTCATTTTCATTTAGATTGAGTGTGGGTGTGGGTGTGTCTTGTCTTAGCTGGTACGCAAACTCACACCGAAACCCCCAACCCCACCCACACTCACACCCACACCCGAGAATCGAATCACATATCTTTAGAAAGTGACTCATAATTTTACATTGTTTTCGAAACTGATATCTATAAAAACCTCGAATGTCGCAAAACATTTTATGAATCCTTGCATCTATGTTATAAAAACAAGTTTTGTTTGTTCATTACTTAGCACCTATCTCTTCATAGCCTCTCTTTGTTAGTTTCTTGCGATTCATATTAAGTAGAAGTGAAAGAAAAAACGCCACGAGAGTGATTACAATCTTTTCTCTTTTAATTAAGTGATGGAGAGCAGTTGTGTACGTCAACACAAAATATGCGATGTTTCTTTTCGTTCTCACACTGATTCTATGGCGAAAGAAAAAGTGACAGTTATTAATCAGCTTCTAATTAATGCATGGACGTCATAAAAATAAGAGTCCCCCTTATATGAATAATATGCACATCTTTCTTATATTTTTAAGCTGTCTCCTAGGTATACTTGTCAGAAAAGAAAAAAAATCACTTCAATGTTTCAAACATTTTTCATTGAATTAGGGACCACGAGTGATCGAATAGCATACACACTATATGTTTGATATTGTTTTTCGTTATTGTAAAATGACTTAATGGTAGAAGAAAATGTCACGGTTATGATTCATTTTTTAATTAATAGATTGAAGTTATAAGAAAAGGGACTCCTTTTCATTACCAAGGTCTTACATTCTCATTACTATACTTCGCTATACACTCATCACATATACATCAGGTAGGAACTATATATGCAGCATTTTAACAGGAGTTCCACAAAAAAATCATACAATTTCGAATATAAAAAACATCTGAATCAGCCACTTTTTCATTTCACTCTCTGAAAACGTCAGACTTACCTGCTTTATATGAATCCCAAATATTGCGATCTAGAGAGTTACTGATGCCTCGCTAGAGTTGCCGAACCACCAACACTCTTGAAGTAGATCAGAACAAACCGTAAAAAAATTTACCTAATCTTTTTTGAAATGTTTCACTCGCAAATTTTTCGGTATTACATTGAATTCATATATTAATCGAAAGAGATTCGCCTGTGTAATCTGAGTTTGAAATCGAAAAATGTAAAAACAGTGTTTTGTTTGCATACAAAATTTAGAGACTATTTTAGTAACTTAGACGCATGTCTAAGAGAAATTGGTTTCTAAAAAGAAGTTATTTTATTTTATAGTTCATTCAATTCAGTCTCGAGTCATAGGTAGGATATTGTGCCACTTACATGTTAGTTGTATTATTTTATGTACAACATCATGTCAAATTTTGTTACTAATCTCTTCGGAGAATTCCATCTTTATAATTGAGTCATATAGCAGTGGATAGAACTGAGTTTGCTTTACAAAACTACACACATGACATTTCTTTTTCCATCCCATTACAGAACCAAAAAACTTGAACTACAGTACATTTTTGTGCTTACTAAGTTTCCTTTTGTTTCAGTGTGTTGAGCAGACGATTATGCCATATAGGAGTCACGATTAATATTATTAGTTCATATTATAACTTGTCAAGCTATGCTTTGAATGATATATAAGATAGTATTTTGAAATGTTCGAAAAAATATTGTTCAAACTAAAAACTTGAACGCTGAAATTCTAATGAATACTTCACATGAATTTCAACATCGTATAGAATATTTTATATCTTGAAAACTCTATTCCCGTGTATTTTTTTGTAAAAATTTGAATAGGTCATATTAGTTGATGTTATCAATGATAGTGAAGAAGCCTATCCAAGAGCTGAGTTATTCTATCAATCGCCTCGACCGTATGGAGGGTCATATGAAAAAGAATGGTTTATGTGTGTTTATGTTTGCATCGGGGTCAAGAAAAAACTTCCACTTTAGAAAATTTTCTATAAAGCTGTCGAAAGTAAACCAGGGTCGAGGAATTCGAATCTGAAGACAGATTTTCCAAAAACTCGAATAATTCTTTGTCTGAAACAGTCGTATTTTTCTCTATCGACAAAAGTAATACTAAAAGAATCTTCTAAGAGAAGTTATAGCCCGTAAGGCACATGCAGAATAATTCACGATTGTTTTGATTTTCTCCAATAATAGATCAAGGGACTATGAGCAAAGCTTGATAGAAGTGCCGACAAACGACTAACCTCAAATATTCAGTCGAGATTTAAGCGAGTCACACAGACGAGCGTTACTTGTTCCTAATGCATTTTTCACACATGAAACTACGTCTAATGTTTAAACTAAATATATCAAAAGAGGGTTTGGGTGTGGGTGTGGGTTAAGGCAAAGAGAAGATCAACACCTACGCCCACACTCATTAGACAAGATGAACATTTAAATCGAGTATGTTGTAGTAAGTCATATACAAATCTGAAATAAATTAGAAGAAAAAGATTTTGTAACATGAAATGATGAAAGTAAATTTTAAGTTATACAATTGTCGCTATTCCACCATTTATTACCTGCAGTTTTCAACTGTTGTTTTTTATTTATATTTATGCATATATTATATTTCATATCACTACAAATTAATGGATAACATTCAGTGGAAATTTCGGATACTGTCACTACCGAATACAGTTAAAATTCTACACATGTCGATAGATGCACCATGATATCTATTAATATTTCTCAGACTATCAAAATTATTGATTAGAAAAGAATCTCTTAGTTAGTATTCGAAAAAACTCATCAGGGCTAAAAATGAAAACTCTCCCTGTCATATCCTAGGGTAGAGCAAGGCAGGGCTGCCCTAATGCACGACACATAAACACAACGCATTTCAATATAATGTGCTATAACTGGTATTGAACCATGATTCCTGCTTATTGAACTTATTCGCTATTGTTTGAAGCATCCTTGAAGTCTACAGGGTCACTTATTAGTGAATTAGATCGATATATTCGATGCACACAAATTGTTAAAACTATTCCTTATGGCGTAATCTCATTCGTGATGAGTCAGCTACTAAGAATGCTTATAACCTAGCAGACGATTAAAACAGTTTCTATTGTAAGTCGAAGCAAGTTTTGCACTTATCAGAATGTTTCAAACAAAACCTTGTTTATTTCTATTGGCAGGCACTAAAATGCTCTTATAAAGTTCTGCATTATGATATAAAAAGAAAGTAGTGAGTAGTTTTCTAGTAACTTTTCGTGAATCATATGAGAAGAGAGACAACAGAAGACCATAGAAACATAAAGAAATGACAAAGGATAGATTTTGGTCTAGATGCGAGCGATTATGCCACTTGGGGTGAAATATGGATCCTTACCTACACACTCAAAAAATATACTCATTCACATCAGTACAAAAGCCTAGAGGCGTGCAATGAAAACAAACCAAGGTCAGAGAAAGAAAAAACTTCACACTCAACAAATGCTCCACATCGAAATCTTTATTCTAAAACACATTTCCCAATCGCCGCTGATATATTACATCGGCTTATGCAAAGTCGCACACAGTTGGCAGCAACATATATCTATTTAAATATATACATGAGTACCTTCAGGATTTGGTTGTGATTCTGAATGTAGAACGGGTATAGCGTTGACATGGATGGGTTCGGAAGTTCATGGATAGGCAGCAGAAAAATATCCATACTTACTCTCACATTTTCTCACATCCCAGAGATGTCTGAATACAATCCGGAGTGTCACGAAGTTGTTTTCTTCCGATGGGTATTTAGTGTGACAGGCAGCCAGGAATATGCACAATTCATCTTTTTCGGTAGTCCTTTCTAATCCATCCTAACTTACAATTTGTAGTCTCTTGTGATATCTTGTTATGTTGGAAAAAACCTAGAATTTATAGAATCAGTAGCTCATTGTAGTAGCGAAAAGCCCTTCCTATATTAGACTGCAAATTCTGCAAATACAAAGTTTTTGCGCCACTAGAAGTGACTACACGGGTCTAAAAATTCTACATATTCTAGGTTTTAGTTCTTACTACATTACACTACAAGAAACTACATAAGGTTACGAAGTCTGCTGATGCTAAGTTTTTGGCCTACTTTAAGACACTGCGCCGTACCCCAAACAACTAATTGATAATGCAATCTTGGAAACGCCTATATTTTGGTTGGCCATATTTTTGAGACTACACTTTGTAGTCATAGTCGCAGAGTGCTCTCCAAGCATCACTGTTTCTGAAAGTATACCTATCCTCAGCGTTTGCAAAGTTTCTGAAACTTTGAAGTCCTATATTGAACTCATAAAATATTCCAAACGGTTGTCTAGATCGTGTCATAGACTCTTTAGGCATCGAAAACCTTCTCCTTAGATTTCTCATAAGATGAATATTATAAAATTGTACATCATCTTTGGTCCTTAGAACAGCTCAAACAACAGCACCAGTGAAAAAAAATATTCATATTATTTGGCTGGCGCAAATTCTGTATTTCTTTACATAGTTTGTAAGTTTGTTTTGTGTGAACACCCTCAAATCCAACCAAATAATTGTATTCGTTATAAAAAGTGTGATATACGCTTCTCGATACTACAGCGAAACTACCATATCTAGAAGAAGGAAACTTCTAAGATTTAGTAGAGTTTCGTAAAAACTGCCAGGGTTTTGCTATCCCATAATGACTAAATTGTAGAAGTTTCTTTTTTTAAGCTTGGTACTTTTAAAAAAGTATCGAATAGGGCGAATAAAATTGATTATAATTTGCACAAATATTTGCTTGAGTTTGGTGGATCTTCATATCGAAAATTGACCACCTTTACTTTGACAAAAAAAAGGAATTCTTCTGTCCCTATTCAGACCTATATGCAAAGTGATTGAAATTCTTCAACAAATTCATCCTCAACGCCACACCTATAAGAATGGCTGGGAACACATGAAGAGATATAGCCACAACCACCTATAGGATGTGAGGGTCGAACTGAGTCTAATAGTAAAAAAAACCACACCCAGAACAGTCGAAGCCACAGCCATACATCTCACATTCACTCCTACCCATACCCACACCCACACCCACACCCACACCCTTTTATGATGATGAATGTTTTTCATACTACCGTTCTGACTTAATTAGCCCACAAGGATAAACTGCTTTACAAACTAATAAATGCAAGTTATCTTTTTCTAGGAGAACTGTAGAAATAGTTATCACGGTTTCGTAGAAATCAATAACTGGTTACTAGTGTTAACGTCGGCTAATATGATATTTATTTCTTAGTACTTCTTTATACAAGAAAAAGAAACAGTACAAAGAAAAAGGCTAAACTCAAACCAAACTAACTAAAGCTGAAAACAAAAACTGAATTTCATTGTAACTTCACAACCTTATTTTTTTTTTGTAACAAGGCGCCCTCATTACTAACATTCTCCCACTCTTTAAACAAGGTCATGTTTGCGAGTTCGACGAGACGTCTTATACCATAGTTGTGTTGGTGTTGAACGGATATATGCTCGTTTTAACATATCGCGGTGTACTAAATCTAATTTCACTTGTCCATTGACATCTTCTAATTGATATGTTCCTAAAGGACAAATCTTCTTAATTTTGTACGGACCAAGCCAGTGAGGCTGGAATTTTTTTCGGTTTTCATTGTGCATTAGAACCCAATCGTTCAATTGTAATTGGTCAGCATGATGTTTCAATTGACGGTCGTAATAAATTTTCATCTGAATAGCATTTGAATTAAGACGTCGATGGACAATATCACGTTGTTGTTTTAGTTGATTCAATTGTTGTACACGAGATAAGATGTTGTTTTGTTCATCATCATTAATAATAGGTATTAATTGATCACCTGGTAATTTTGCTTCTACACCATAAACCATATAAAATGGAGTTTTACCTGTGGCGTGATGTTGTCGGGCTCGACAAGCAAATAATGCACGGTCAACATATTCATCCCATTTATTAATATCATTATCACCTACATATTTTGCGAGCATACCACCAAATAAACGATTAAACCGTTCGATAACACCATTGGACCGTGGATGATAAGCAGATGTTAAAATATGTTTGATGCCAATTAACTTGAAATATGAATTTAACATTGTTGTCGTAAAATTATTACCTCGGTCAGTAAGTATTTCTACTGGACACCCAAAATTTAAAACTATTTCTTTATATATAAATTTTGCAACAACTTCTTGTGTAGCATTTTGAGCAACTTGAGCGATCGGCCATTTTGTTGTATGATCAATTGCAATTAATATCCAACGGTTACCACTTTGTGTAATCGGTAATTGACCGATAAAATCAAGACTCCAACGATGGAAAGATGGCACCGGAGTTAAAGGATGTAATGGTTCTGTTGAAGTTTTACCACAAATTGCAAGTTGACACTTAATACAAGTTTTAATCCATTTTTTAATATCATTATTCATACCTGGCCACCATGCTCTTGTTCGTAATAATTCTTGTACACCATCAGCTCCTATATGTCCATATGCATCATGCATTTTAAGAACTAAATCTAATCGTGAGATATATGGTATATATGGAGCTGTTTCGTCATCATTTAATTTGCGGCATAATGTTTCATGTGATTCATCATAAATAAAGAGATGTAATTCTTTTTTTATTAGTTCTTGAATATTACTTGGTACATCAGCATCAAATTGTTCATGTTTTAAATAATGTGGAATTAATAAAGGCCAATCTACATATTGATTTTCTTCCATCACAGCTAATTGTAATGAACATAATCGGGATAATGCATCGGCAACAAGGTTTTCTTTTCCGGATTTATATTCGATCTTAAAATTGAATTGTTGAAGATATTCGACCCAACGAACCATGCGACGGGATAGATGCTTTTGGGTTGAAATATGCTGTAGTGATTTATGATCTGTACGTATAAGGAATGTCATACCTTCAAGATAACACCGCCATGCACGTAAACAAATAATAATGGCAAATAATTCTTGTTCATGCACCGGATAACGAGATTCAGTATCATTTAATTTACGTGATTCATATGCTATTGGTCGTTCACCTTCACCATCATTCTGCATTAATACACCTCCAACAGCAGTAAGAGAGGCATCAGTGACCACGATAAATGTTAAATTAAAATCAGGCAAACGAAGGACAGGTGCTGTTAAAAGTGCTTCTTTCAATGTGAGAAATGCCGTATGTTGTTTATTCGTCCATTTGAATTTATAATTAGCTTTGGTTAAATCTGTTAGCGGTGCTGCTATTTCACTAAAGTTTGGTATGAACCGACGATAAAAACCTGCTGCACCAAGAAAAGATCGTACATGTGTTGAATTACGTGGTATTGGCCAATTTTTGACAGCAATAACTTTATTTTCATCGGCTTTAATACCATGTGATGTTACTACATGACCGAGAAAATGAATCTGATCACTACCGAATTCACATTTGTCTCTATTGGCATATAATTGATTAGCACGTAATAATTGTAAAACTAATCTAATATGATTTAAATGTTCCTGTTCATTCTTACTATAAATTAAAATATCATCAAGATATAATATAACAAACTCATCGATGTATTGATGAAATATAGAGTTCATTAATCTCATAAAGGTTGGTGGTGCATTTGTTAAACCGAACGGTAATACGATAAATTCAAATGATCCATACCGTGTTCGAAATGCTGTTTTATCAATATCATCATCTTTGATTCTAATTTGATGATAACCAGTTTTCAAATCGAGTCTTGAAAAAAATTTGGCACCATTGAGTTGATCTAACATTTCATCGATGCGTGGAATCGGATACTTGTTTTTTATTGTAATTTTGTTTAATGCACGATAATCAACACACATACGTAATGTCCCATCCTTTTTCTTCGCAAATAAGACTGGAGCAGCATATGGTGATTTGCTAGGACGGATAAAGCCTTTTTCTAGTAAAATTTCTAGCTGACGTTTTAATTCGGCTAACTCTGGCTGCGACATTCTAAATGGTTGTTGTGATGGTGGTGTTACATTTTCGAATAATTTTATTTCATGATCTATATCACGTTTCGGCGGTAACTCGATCAGATCATCGGGAAATACATCTTCAAATTCTTCTAATAATTGATTTATTTGTAGATCGATTGATGATGATGTATCAACATAACGATTAGATGTTATTTTAGTCGTCACCAAATAAATCTGTTTACATCTTGATAGTTGTTTTGCATTGATTAAAATATCATCAGTACTTTCTATAGTATCGAGAAATTTATCATCGATAGTTTTGCTATCTAAATTTGTTGTTTTAAGCAGATATTTGTGACCATTTGTTGTAATAGTAATGGTTCGTGTTTGCCAATTTATGCAAGGATTATTTTTAAATAACCATGGTACACCTAAAATCACATCATAATTGGTTGCAGTGCTAATTGGAAAAACATAAGCTGATGTTATCTTATCATTAAAATGATCTAATTTTAAATCAAAATCCAGCAATACTTGATCGATATACGATGTCACGCCATTAGCAACAGTAACTAAAACACGTGGAATAAGACTGGTTTTGAAATGATGACGTTTAACAAAATCTTCAGATATAAAATTATGTGATGCACCACAATCAATAAGTATATGTGTAGCATGGCCATTAACATTTCCTTCTAAAAATAGTAATGCTGATTTATCAATTTCTTTTGCCGGCATCATTGACATAATTTCATGAAGTAGTTTGGTATCATTATCAATATTTTCTGATGATATTCTATAATTAACAACACCTTCTTTCTCGATCAGATCGTGTCGATTCGATTCAGTAACATCTTGAACATCTGGGAAACTGGAAACAATTGAAGAACCTAAAACATCTAGATGACCCGAGGACGTAAAAGAAAATGAAGAGGTAGATGTGTTCCCCGCCACATCTACCACTGATCGTTTTTTGGATGAGATGATTCTGTCGGACGTTGTTGTGCTTGTTGCCGTTTTGGACATTTCAATGCAAGATGACCTGGTTCTTTACAATAAAAACATAGACCAAACTTAAGACAATCTTCTTTCAACGTGGATGTTTTAAAGGGTGTTGTATAACGTGTTTGACGTGAGTGTTGGCGTGTATGGATAGCATTTAATTCAATATTGGTTGATGCTTCAAGAAATGGATTATATTTAACATGATTGGCTTTACCAACAGCCGTCACATCATCATAAGTAATTGCTTCACGTATGGCGTCTTCGACCGTTTGTGGATGCTTTGATCGTACATATAAGCTGGTATTGAGAGACAAACCATTAACGAACAACATCACTTGAGTTAATTCGTCCATATTAACTGTTTGACCGACAATGCTTCGAAATAAGTGAATATAATCTTGTAATGAATGCTTTTGACGTAAATGTAATAATTGTTGGCGAAGCTGTTCTTGAAAATCGACTGGTTGAAACTGATATTTCAATTTGTCTTTAAATTCATTCCAAGATGATGGTCGTTGATTTTTAAGTTTTAAATTTACAAACCATTGTAAGGCAGTACCACCTAACAAGCTGACAGCAAGGGAAATTTTCTGATCGTCATGAGTGTATCGAGTCGCCATAATTTCTTCTAATACCGTTAACCAAGTAATAACATTTTCCTCGCTTGTTCCATTGAATTCTTTCGGTTTAACATTGATCTGATTAGGTGATTTAGATGATGGATCAATCAATGAATCAGCTGTTGGTGTTGGTAATAATTGTAAAGGCGGCTGTGATGAAAGTAGTACTTGTTGGGCACTCATGTGTTTTTGTTGTTCACGCATTTCTTCAATAATGATCATGTTCATCTGAATGACTCGTTCCAACAAATTTTCCAAATTCGCACCTTCAATGGGCATGATAAACCGGTAAATTCGCTGCTACCAAATGTTAACGTCGGCTAATATGATATTTATTTCTTAGTACTTCTTTATACAAGAAAAAGAAACAGTACAAAGAAAAAGGCTAAACTCAAACCAAACTAACTAAAGCTGAAAACAAAAACTGAATTTCATTGTAACTTCACAACCTTATTTTTTTTTGTAACAAGGCGCCCTCATTACTAACACTAGTTTGTTCCCAATCTCATACTATTAAATCGACGATATAACGCGTTCTGAAAACTACATTTCCCATTCGGGTATTCATCTGGTCTGAGTATTAGCGAGATTTAGCAAGGGATCCAAAAAAACGACGTTTAAAGTAACAAAGTCATATGGGACATAGTTGAACATGAAGTAATTCAAAAGAGGTTTCCAGTAGACGTATACTGAGATATTCTATCGAACAACTTCAACATGGCAGTGCATGTGTAGTTCCGACTCGAAATGAAACACATCTTACTTACTGCTTCAGAAATGTGCAATGATCCGTTGATCATGCAGTAGTAGTCTCCCATTTTAGAAAGATAACGGATGAGTCATAAAAAATGATACCTTTAGTATTTTAACCACATCTCATTGGTTGTCCGTCGTACTGAATCATTTTTTTAAAAGATTTCTCTCTCCAAGCTCTAACAAAATGAGGATCTACTCAATCAAATATTCACTTAGCTATTGTTCTCGATAAGGGTGTAGATGTGGATGTGCACTGTAAAAAAAGGTACGATACTGAACCCTTGAACTGCTACGAAACCTCAAATGGTTTTGCATCATTTTGCGAAACCTATAAAAAGTTCCGATTTTTGCAACGAAATCCGAACTCTTTAAGGTTTTTCAGTCAAACAAGAAAAGCTTTGAAAATGCTTTTTCGACTATTCGCAATCATTGTGAGGAATGTAGGGTTTTTTATGGAACCTTTTTCAAAGTTTCTATTTTCAATAAAAAGTAGTTCGATATAACATATTACTGTTGTTCGGTGCATGTGCTTATTACTAGGATATTGACTCAAGTGGAAACATCATTATAATGAACTATTTTTTTTAGAAAATTAAAAAAAAAGAAATCTTTACGAAACACTAAAGGGTTTCCATTTCTTTTCAAAATTGGAACCATGGGTAGATTTCGTATGGTACTTTATTTTTCTCAGTGTGGGTGTATAGGAAAGAGAAGACCAACACCCACACCCACACACTCTTTTGAGCTGAACTGTTCGAACAGCTTAGCTTCCATCAAAAAAACCGTTCAAAAAGATCAGCTCATATAAGAAGAACCGTTTGAACGGTTCTTTGAGGTGGAGCTAGAGCTGAACTGTAACACTCCTAATTAACATGCATCATTCTATCAACGGCTATACTCAAGTAGATTTTACCAGCAAGCAGAGGTATAGATCGATAAACCTATCGCTTTCTGTACTAGTATTTGATAAAAACATGTTTTGAAGACTGAAAGATATCCTAATAGTAAAAGCTGTTGAAGACATAAGGATTCGTGTGTATAAGGAACCTCAGGATCCAATGGTACCACCTTAGAAAAACCCTTAAGTATCTAATAGTAATCCAGGATCATAAACCATGAAAGCTCAAAATCAGTATGAGGAATCACCTATATCAGTCGTATTTACTACCGTACCATTTAGTGTGAATAGTATTCAATAATCTGGTTGATAGTATCCTAATTTTTACATCATATAGCTTCTAGATCAAAAGTGTACGACAGGAAACGGCTGTATCCTGTGAATTTCCGGTGAATTTCTAAAAACAGCGTCCCATAGCCGGTTCCGGCTATGGGTTTTGGACATTCTTGTTGATTCATATGCGTGAAATGAATCCTTGGGTCCGATTAATGTTTCTGTCTCGTTTGAGTGTGAGTGTAGAACGGGAACAATACATATACATCCACAACCAGGTTTTTATCTCATCTGTGATTTTTTTGTTTCTAGTTTTCATTTTACTCTTGTCTAGTTATAGACTCAACGTCAATCTATTGATATGCACTTTCTATTTCAGATATTTACCTTGTACAAGACAATAAATCATTATTATCAAATTCTTTAAACACATTCATTTAAATTAATAACTTCAGCAATTAAGCAATACTTCTGAAACAAGTATCTGTAAAACTCGTACACCCTCATTCACGAATACGTTGTTGTTTGATATTGAGAGACGTAGTCATTGCTGAAGAAACGATTAACAGTAAATTACTAGAATGACAGTGTATTTACGTCATCTGGCGAACGATTTGTGTAGTATTTGAATTTTCAATTAGGGTTTACGTCTAGGGTATCGGTGTGATTTGACATGAGGATTTCTTGTGAAGTAATCATTTTCATACTCACACTCGTATCCAATACCTATCGCATACACGAGACTACCTGAGAATAACTTAGGCTCTGTCGAAAAGTTGTTCCCTCAACTGAAGAGATAGGCATAGGAAAAAATTTTCAATAATTGCTGGATTTGTTTGTCTGTGCGGAATCAAAAAAAAAACATCATATTACAAACTTATATTTCCCGCATGGCAAATCAATCAATTAGAGATTTTCCACCTCAAGCTTTCGACTAGTCAGTTTCTTTAAGCTTCGACTTCTACCATAATGGGGAAGTCAGGACGATTTTGATAACGGCGCATCTATGGATGTATAGATAGGTGGTCATAGGTTAGTGGGTCCTAGTGTAGGTGGATAAGAGTGGATAAAAGCAGAGAGCCCAAACAAGAGTAGACTTTATTAGTCGCAGACCAGTCATCCAAGTATGAGTGGGATTCAGTGGTCGCATTCAGGCCACCGAAGTCTTGATCAATTTCGGTAGTTGAGGCCCAGATGATCAAGTACTGATCGACTGTGACGATTACAGGTTGGTCACTCAAGTGCGATAGGTTTTGTTGGAGAGTATGGGTGTCTGTAGGTGTGCATCGGTGCCGGTAACTGGGTCCCAGTCACGACTAGGTACTTAGTCATTTTATCTTTATTCTACTAATCGAATAGTACTTCCCTCTTTTTCTAATATATTGCAATGCATTGACTCTCAGACTAACAAAATATTGATATAAGCAATAATATTGAATTGATTGGCTATTCTTATATTTCTATGTGCCAATCGTTATAACGTAAAATATCTATATATATATAATGTGCAGTGTGTGTTTCTCTGTCCCGACTCAGAGATCAAGAGTTAATTGTCATATCACGCTACAAGGAGAAGGCGCCAAGAACTATTATATGGACGACTCTGTATTGCGCTCAAATATTGTATGTGACCACAACTCAATGATTTTTACTTTTGATAAAATGTTTGTCCCGAGATATGAAACTATTCGACTTTTATGAGTCATCAAGAATACGAGAAAAGGATCTTTTTTGGTAAGTTTAACTCTTCATAACTTTTCATAGGAATCAGATAGAGGTCTAAAATTTTGAAAATGAATAGAATACTGAAAGACCTATGTGTGCTAGAAACTTCAGCCAATTAAATTCAGCTATTCGGTCGAAACAGGCCTTCCAACAATGGAATCTTGACAAAAATGTCGGTTTTCAGGGTGGATTATCTGCTAAGATATGGATTGTCTAGGCGATTCGGCCTTATCGTTTGAAAGAACTCTCCAGGAGCTATAACCCCATACACAAATTAACTTGGGATCTTCACAATTGGCTGGTTACGCGAACCAGGGTGTGGGTATGACAACAGGACTTACACCCACACCCACACACTTAGTTACTTTGATGAGTTTTTATAGCTCATATGCTTTGTAGCTAAAACAGCACAACTACGTAGAAAAGTGCATCTATTTTCATGTAATTTTCTATAAACAGTTAGTTGAATTGAAAATTTTCAAAAGAACAACCATTCAGTGAGATCTGGTTAGCGGCTAAGATATGGGAAGTGAAATACAAATGACCAAAAATATTTATCAAAGCCACTTCTATGGCTAACAAGTTTGGAGTGAATGTGAAGTTGAAATATTCTCTGAACTTCAAATCATCACAGAAGAACAGCATAGAACATAGGACGAGAACAAAAGGAAAAGTAATCGAATGAACAAGACTAAAGTTACTGTAAGAGAACATCTCTCGAGAGATCGTTGTATGAGCTCAACTATCCAAGTTCGCAAATATTGATGCATGTCAAGTTGTTAGTTCTATATCTGATTCTATACAGTTGTAGCGTCTGTCCAAGCAGGTTTTACAAATGATATACAATGGTGGTTAGAAAATTCTTTTTGGCATTCGATTAGCAAGACCATACTGATTAAATAATTTTATTCACATCGTTTTCTCTTTTCTAGATTGCTTTAAAAAGTGCTGAAAATGCATTTTCCATCACCAAAGGATCATGTTCTTCCTCATAACATTTCATGCGTTGCGCCACCCACGCAATTACTGGACATCCATATAAGTGAGAAGATTAGAGGATCCATGCTTGGCCTTGCCATAGGGGATGCTGTTGGAGCTTGTGTCGAGTCCGTTCCACATGAAAGACTCGTTGAGGATCCCGTTCGAGATATTATAGTGGACCGCCCTTGCCGTCAGCCTCCAGGATATTGGACAGATGACACATCAATGGCATTGTGTCTTGCTTCGTCTCTCATTAGCAAACAAGAATTCGATCCGTATAATCAAATGGTTCGTTACAAATGGTGGTACAAATATGGTTATCTTTCATCTACAGGAGTATCTTTTGGTAGCGGTCGCGCTACTCGTCAATCTCTTCGTGAATTTTCTAAGCGCCAGTATATTTTAATACGAGCATTCAATCTGAAGACTGAAAATGAGGTTGATCATTTGTCATTTCGGACAGTGAAGCGGGTAGCCGAATTTGACGTCAATTGTGGGCGACCTGATGCGACCGGCAATGGAGCTCTAATGCGTCTTGCACCAATACCGCTCTACTTCTTTAGAAACCCTCGAATAGCAGTCGAACTCTGCGGACGAAGTTCTCCTCTAACTCATGGAAGTCGATTATCCGTGGATGCATGCCGTTATTATGGAGCTTTAATTGTAGCAGCACTCTACGGCGAAACAAAGCAACAATTGCTGAGTAACAATTTTTATGAAGCTCATCGAGCATGGTTTGGTCGAAAAGGTCTTTGCAAACGAGTGCTTCACATAGCATCGGGGTCATATAAAAGACCTGGAGGTTACAGTATGGGTATTCGAGGTACTGGCTACGTTCTCAATTCGCTCGAAGCAGCTCTATGGGCATTCTGGAGCGATCAGAACTCGTTTCGGAACGGTATGCTTGCCGCGGTAAATCTCGGAAATGACGCAGACACGACAGCTGCCATCTATGGTCAACTAGCAGGTGCTTACTACGGTCAAAGCGATATTCCATCCAAGTGGTTGAAAATACTCTACGCTGAGCAGCTCATTGTTTGTATGAGCGATTGGATACACTTTCTCGGCTTAAAAAGTGATGTATCGCCGATGAGTCATAGGAATATGCGCTATCATGTACCAGTGCAAATGCAAAAGGATCAATTACTTCATTCTTTTAGTTTGTATCGTGGAATGTTCAGACAAACAGTTCCTCGTCCAATAAACTCAATATTCGACCATAATGTTAATGCACGCCATCGTCGATTATCACATCGAAGCAACTCCTTTCGTGGAAATAGTAAACATCCTCACATAATAGAAGCCCCTGGAGGCTTTTAAACTGTCCATCGTTCAAATTTTTAGAGGGAACTTCTGTTTTGAGGAAGCTATTAATATGACTTCCATGCAAAAGTTGCAAAGAACATAAATGAGTATTGCTTCAATGATCTTGACTATTTATTTTCTATAAGTTCAAATAATCTTACAACATTCTGTGAAATTTTATATAAAGATAAAAGAGCAAAATAACATTATACGGTGCACGCAATTCAAACTTCAAGTAAAATTTTGTTTTTTGGCTTTTTTTCACATCATCTGATAGAGCTTGAGCTGCTGATCACGAATATCTACTTTTTAGCCTTAGTGAATGTTTCCTTCCGGTTTAAAAATACGAAAT